GGTGGAAAAGGTGAAGAGGGATACAGTCAATAATAGTGTGATAATTTTGCACAGTGGCAGATGGTTACGGCGTTCCCTCATCGTAAGATATATAAATGCCAAGTCACTATGTTGTATTCCTGAAACTGACATAATATGGTATGCCAACTATACATAAAAAAATAAAAATTAAAAAAATTTATAAAAAAAAAAAACTCAAATAAAAATATTCTACTCATTAGGAAAAGTAAGCCCTGCTGGGAGCAAAGAATATTTATTTCATCAGCCTTTGCCTTAGCCTGGCTGAAGTAAACCCTTTGCTCTGGCTTTACACTCTCAAAGCAACTTTCTAATTATCATGTGTCTTCCCAAGAAAATGTTCCCTCAGGGAGAGGGGCTGCTGATCAAAAACACCGAGTATTTTTATTTGCAAGATGTGCACAGTCCTCATTATAAATGAACAAACTGGCATTCTGTTTTACACACCAAAAGAAAAATAAAATATGTAAAAAACAAATTATCTGCATTTTTGACAGGTTTGCCCCTTAGGTCATGTCTTCCTTGCTCTTGGTCTTCTGATGGCTCCTGTCTCCCCTCACCTAGCCTCTTTCTGTCCCAGCACCTCTGTGCTTTCTTTCTCTGCACCGGCCCAGCACGGTATCATCAAAGTCCTCTAACATCACAGTGGCAAGTTCTGGCAGGAAAAAGACTTGCGTACATGTAATATTTTCTGTAATATTTAATGAGAACTATTTCTATTCACTTAGCTTTCCCACTAAGCTGGACATGACTGCAATTCCTAGATCTGCAAAAGTCTTAGGAAACAGAACAAATCATCTAAGGGTATCACATGGTGCCAGATACTCACATTTTCTGACCGGAGCCTCTTGGCAGGACACCCGCCGTCCCTGGGGTGAAGCATGTAATACAGTCGGACTTTGCTTGCATGTTTTCGACTCTGGGAAGGAAAAGCAGAAGCAGATACTGTGAAAGAGAAGGCATTTTAAATCCTTGGGAGCACAGCCAGTGGCTGCAAATGCCAAGAAGTAGTTTTATTAGAAAACACTTTTGCATGTCCCTGTGAGTTATGCGGGATGAAGGTTCAGATAGGTTAAATGGCTTGCCCAAGGTCATAAAGCCAATATAATTTTAGGATTAGAAAACACAGCTTATGAAGAAAGGTAAAAGCCTTAGGATCTTTTACTCTGGAATGAATAGTATATTTAATTATTATTAAAAGTAGGAGAAGGACAGAGGGAATAATACAAGGATCAACTGTGATGAAAAGCTAGGTTCCCCACCTTCTCTCTCACTACCGTAACCCTGCTCTTAGGAGCTAGGAGCGATGCCCTCCCAGGAGTCAGGCATGCACAGCATCTGCAAAAGAATCTTTTTCCTGGGGTTCTCTCATACCTGGGCCTCATTAATAAGCCATCAAAAGGGATTTTCCAAAGTCAGGTATCATGAGCAAACAAAAGATATTGTCTGCATGTCTGAGGACTGGCCAGAGCCCAAGCTCCATGTAAGTAGGCACACCCAGTAAACAAATACAACCCCACCTCCTGGAGGATTCTCAGGATTATCAGTTTCTGTCTGCACTGAGGGGTCCTGTGCAGCATGGGGAAACTGATCCCTTCTTAGTTCCATCTTTCCTCTATGCCTTTGCTCAAGTGAGAGCCCACCCAAACTCTCTTGACCTTTAAAGAATACTCAGTTCTGCCTTCCAAGTTGCTACCAGAGGCAGGCGGGTGGAGTGAAAAGAGCAGTAATAAAATACAGTAATGCACCAGATAGCGGCCTTTCAGTCAAGGCAGGCTGCATAGACAATGGTGGTCTCATAGGATTACAAGGGAGCTGAGAAATCCCTATTGCCCGGTGATGCCATAGCCATGGTAATATAGTAGCTGCCGTAATGTCGTAGCTGTCCCAATGTCCTAGCACAACAAACTACTCACGTGTTCGTGGTGACACTGGTGTAAACAAACCCACTGCACTGTCAGCCGTATAAAAGTATAGCACATACAATTATGTACAGGACATAATACTAGATCATGATAATAAATGACTATGTTACTAGTTTATGTATTTACTGTGCTATACTTTGTATTATGTTAGAATGGACTCTTTCTACATAAAAAATAAGTTTCCTGTAAACAGTATGTCACGTTATGCCAGCGGCAGCCTCAAACATCTCGTGTTTACCAAGTCTCTTGATTGCATCATTTTCTTTTGTGCTTCATTTAATCTCATGTTGTTTTTACAGTAACATGCTCTCCAGATCTGTAGCCAAGGAGCAGTAGGCTATACTGTATAGCCTAGTTGTGTAGCAGGCTATGACATCTAGGTTTGTACAAGTGCACAGGATGATGTTTGCACAACAAAGAAATTGCTTAATGATGCATTTCTCAGAATGTATCCCCATTGTTAAGCAGCGCATGACTGTAGTCAGAACTTCTAAACCCCATTTCCTGCTGTACCACTTTCTAACTGTGTGATACCGAACAAGTCACTTACTCTAATTAGTTTATAGCCAAAATAAGTCTCATTTGCTCCATGTACAAAATGAACATAATAATATTTATTAGGGTTGCCATGAGAATCAAATGAGACAATGCATATGAAAAACTGCAATCCACATAATGCTAAATAAACGTTTCTCACTGCCGACTGCATCATTCCCTAACTTTGGTCCTATAGGAATCTCTATAATGTGAATTTGCCATGAATCCATTGCTACCTAATTCCCGTCCCCTACCCTTTCTTTCATTCAGAGGTATTCTTTTCCAGGCCTTGGTTCCACTTGGCCCTTACAACAGTTGGGTTCTAGCCAATCTCCTAGATGAGGTTTGCCTTCATAGATTAACCACAAAGACAAAGTAATTTTCAGAGAACACACAGCAAATTACATCTTGCTTACAGGATATATTGTAAAGTCTTTCTGTCTGGTTTTCCTCATTTATCATTTTTTTAATTCCTTTATTGTGCCAATAGCAAGAACGCCTGAATACTCCCTGAACAGTTCCTGAATACTTTTAAGGCCTTTAAATGGGTTTAAAAGTGATATTGGAACATGAAAAATATTTACAGAGCTGTAAAAGTACACAAGCATAATTTTGAAATATATTTGTATAGTACACACAAATATATGTCCAGTAATGTATAGTAATTTTTGATCGAGGTTTATCTGGAGTCTTGTTTGCCTGGGAAATTGGTAGGACAGAGAAATAGAGACCTACGTGGACCTGTGTCCGATGCTTTTAACACCATCATTCAACTTCCTCATGCTTTTGAGGACCATTCAGTGCAAACTCGCATTTTTTTTTTTTGCAGCTAAATATGTTGATTACTAAAACTCGTATACATTTTCTATAGTTTTGTTTTTGATGGTAAGGGATAGTGGTAATATTAGGAATATACTGCTATGGTCACAAAAATAAAAAAGAACATTTAAAAACCCTGCAAGATGCTGAATGTGGCCACAGAGCCTGGGCTGGTGAAAAGCACAACAGACAGGTAATTGGTGAAAAGACAAAGTGATAACAGTGTGAACTCAAATGTGGCTGAAGTGGGTTTTCAATTTTTCATTTGTTACCATAGAAGAACTTCTTATTACAGTTCCTGCGTCATCAATCTACTCAAAGCCCTGGACTCCCAGAGAACAAAATTGTGGCAAAAATTGAAAATCTCATAATGTGGCCTGTTTTGTGGTTGTTTTTTTTCTCTTTCATAAAATATTATGTTTCTTTCAAAAAGGCTCTTTCTAGCATAGGCAGAGTTCACTGGGTTATTTAATTGCAGTTTGACAAAACTAGTAAAGCTTGTTAGCTGAAAAGAAAGATAAATAAATGGTAAACTCTGCTGTGAAGCCATTAGTGATGAGAGATGTTGGGATTTAAGGCTTATCAGCAATTTTGTTCATTAAAGGCCATTTTTCTCCTTCAGCTCCCCCGGTTTCTGGGTTTGATGGAAGGAGAACTGACTGCCCTGCAGGTACTGCCTATGCCCTTGTGTGTGGGTGAAGAGAAACACAGCCTTGGCAAACACCCCTTGATTATGGAATGACAGTCGAGGTGTTCTTGTTCATCATAGAGCTGTGTCCCTTTTGCCTGATCACCCCTTCTTCCTCCCACTGCTTTTTCCAGGCTGCCTGGGCTAGGTCCAATTCCTTCCTACCCATGAGGTAACTCTGACTTTGAGCAAGAAGTATAAACCTCGAAGAAATAAGAGGGGTGTAGAGTCACCTCCCAGTTAGTCCGATTGAAACCCAAAGCTACTTGCAAATGATGTCTGGAAACAAAGGGAAATGGGCTCTCAGCAGAATGTTTCAGGTTGCTCGACATCTTGTCCTGCCTCAGCTCTGGAGTCTTCAACAATGTGCAACGCAAGGGTGCAGCTCTGCTAGTGAGTCCTCTCCTTTCTTCCTGGTATATTCACCTCTTTCTCAAGACAGGACACTGAGTCACCTACAGTGTCTTCCGCCAACAGGCTCCTCTCAACCCCTTAACTACCCGAATTACTTCATATGTGGCACAACAATCTCACTCCTTTCAATTTATTGTAAAAATGAAACCTTCCCCACAAAAAGTTAATTAAATTTGAGCAAAGATGTTCATTGCAGAATTATCTAAAAAGGAACAAAAAAATGGGAGATAACTATGTATTTGACAATTAGGTGACTAAAGCAGCCACAGAATACCCTGATGTTCAGTTAGAAATTGGGGGGAAAAAAAAACAAAACGCTTTCTACATAATGAATGTTGAATAAAAAATGTTAAACTCAAAATCGCTTGGATACTGTGAGTGCAATTATATAAACATTCATAAATATATCAATAACAGGTGGAAAGGAAAAAAGCATGATTTATTAGGGTAGAAGGAATATACATAGTTTTAGTTCTATCACAAAATTTCCTTTAATATAAAAATAATAGTAATTCACAATGCTCAAGCCATTGTAATTCCTTATTAAGTATACTTTTTACTCACAATGATTGTAGTTAGTAAAAAGTATCACTGATCTGGGGGGAGGGGAGTTGTTACTTTGTGAGGGGTGAAAAGGATAACTATTGCATTGTTCTGTACACCTAAAACTAATAATAAAAAATAAAAAATAAAAAAAGTATCACTGATCTGGAATGCTTTTAACATATACTGGTATAATTGACCACATTTCCATCTACCCTTGTTAATGTCTTATCAGCATTCAAAATACATGTTTTTTTCATTGAAATATTTGGTAGCTAGATGAGTGTCCTTAACCCAAGAGCAATACATGTTACTTCAAGTTTTAAAACTATCTTTTGGTAGATATAAACACCATGATAAATATGTGTACTTTTCACAATGTAGTCACTTTAGCTTTCTGTGTATGAATCAAGACTATGGGGCTAGGTGGCCAACGCTGCACAAATAACCACACTGAGAAGACCTGGAAGAAAGCTCCTTTTGAAACTGGCTTATATTATTCAAATGAACATGAACAATAACAATTCCTTATGACCTTTTTCAAAGATTTATTAATAACCTAAAATTTACACTGCTTCAAAGAATTTAAAAAGATAGATACATTGTCAACTGAAAGGAATGTTAAAGAGAAAAAAAAAATCCTATATGTTAAATGTATATATTGCAGAGTTTCAGGAGGGAAAGGACCATTACTTTAAGAAAAGACATGAAAAAGAAATTATAATCTCTTTCAATTGCACTGAGAGTCATTCTCAACTCTTTCTTGCATTAATATTTGCATTTTAAGCAAAAGTCATTATTTCATTCAAACCACATCACATCAGCTTTAAGCTTTCCAGATAGGCTAGAAATTACCAATTCTTCCATTTTAATTAAAGCCGTTGCCCCTAATGCCAGGCATTCTGCACTATTGTGCAGAATAGTTTCTTTTGCTGAAACAATCTCTTGGCACTCAAAACACAGTCTAAAGTGGAAATTCTGGCCAATCTTCTC